AGGGGTAGGGGGTAAGGGGTGGCGGCCGGGTGTGGAGTGGAGTGGCCGAGGCCTATAGCCTCATCGGCGGACAGGAAAACAGTACGGAGAATTTAAACGCAAAAGCCGTCGTGTCGCGTCGTGGACTCGGGTTGCGCTGACGGGGCCCTCACCGTCCAGGGTGGGTCCCTCTGTTATGCCGTGACCCGAAGCCCGCGTCCTCTCGCTGACCGTCACGATTAATTATAAAGGAGGCGTGGCTCGTCCGCTTCCGCCCGGGCCGCTCATCAAAAGTGTACCACTTGTTTATCCTCGGATCGTTACTCGTTACTCGGCCGCATCGCTCCGTCTACGACCGCTATGACACGCCCGCTGCTGCTCCCCGCAGCAGCCAGCATGTCCTGCGATCGGCGCACAGTGTAACACCCGCTAATGGCTCTGTTGTTGTTTGCGCTATCCAGCCCCCCCCCCTCCCCCTTGCAGCTTCTAGCATTTTGCAAGGGGTGGGTGGATTGCGTCATCGAAAATCCCACATCGTCTAGCGGCCCCAGAGACAGGGGTAAGAAAAAGGGGTCGGAGACAAACGAACACGATCGAAGAGCCGAGAGGCAGGTTGTTTAGCAGTCGGGTTGTTTTTCGCAGAGGCAATAAAAAGGGGTGTCCTGGACGGTGGCACCGTTCAAAACACCCCAGCCCTGTCGGGTGGGGTGCGCCGCGCGCTACCCGGGGCCTGGCGGCGGCGATGGCGGTGGTGGTTGGAAGCAGCGCCGCGACGCAGCGCAGCGTCGCGGCGCGAGCGAGCGAGACGGCGGCAGGGGCGGAGGCGCGAGCGAGAGTGAGACAGAGCGAGGCGGAGAGAGTGAGAGAGAGGGTGGAGAGGGGCGCCTCGCCCGGCTGCCGGCGGTGGTGGGGGCCGCGGCGGTCGATGTGAATCAGTCAGTGGCGAGCAGTGCAGCCGCCAGGATCCCCCGGAGCGACACCGCGCCCGCCCCGCGACAGGCCCCGTGGCCCCGCTGGCCCCGCCGCAGGCAGGCCGCAGCAGCCGTGACGCCAGCCAGCCGCTTATCTCGTTGGTCTCCGGAGCAGAGAGAGATGATATAAACGGACGGTCGCGAGGGGGGGCCGTCAGTGCGGGTTGGGAGCAGTGCTTGAGCAGAGCGCTGGCAGAGTGCTGTGCGCTGGCCACCGGAACACTGGCCACCAGAACTGGCATGAGGGCGGATCTCCAGTCCTTCATACGACACACCTCCTCCGACCACTTTTCGGAAAAGCACTAGTGACACCCCTATGACGGCTTTGTAGCAAAGCTGGATCTCTGTGATATTCCCCCTTTTTATTTTTATTTTCCCCTTATTATTTTTAATCCTCCCCCCACCCCTTTACCACCGGAGTGCGACGTACCCCTCGCACCCCTTGGAACTTTCTTGTGAAAAAGTGAAGAGAAGTGAATAAGTGAAGATGGCGCTGATTCTCCCCGAGTCCGACAAGAAGCCCCACCTCATGATGGAAGCTCAGCAGCCTGCCTCCGGTAAGTTGAGTCCGTCTTTGTTTTGCTGCGGCACCCTACGCACATCACGTAGGCCCTGGCGAGCCAGGTCCCTGCGCATGCGCCAACATGGCGGCCGTGGCGGGCGCCACATGGCGGCCCCGTCGTCCTGCACATGGCGCCCCGACGGCGAAGTTGGGAAACCGATGTCTGTTCCCAAGGTGTCCCCCTGCTGCAGTCCGGGACACCCCTCCAGCCGCCACCCTCCCCCTCTCCTCCCCGCCGTCTGTCGCCGCCCCTGCCTCTTTTCTCTCCTGTGAGAGTGGGTCAGCGGCGGGGGGGCAGGGGAGGGTGTCATGTCGGGGCGTGGTGGTGGGGGATGGGGTCCCTCTGCGCGTCCCGTAAAAAGCTCTCCCGAGTTACTTTCGACACATGAGTAAAGACGTTGTCCACATACTCAATGTGTACGATACTTTCCCTTTGGAATTCATTGTATTCAAACTTCACGATCACGTCAAAACGCACGCCAGCTAGCACACTAGCCTAGCAGGCACCACAAGCCACATTTGCTTATCCTTGTTGGTGTCCCAGGTGACCCCTTTCAGTTAGCATACGGCGTGGAGGGTTTTCGATTCTTCGAACGAGGGAAAAGTCCCATGTTTTGAAGTCTGATGAGGTGGGGAGGGGAGGACTGGCAGGACGGCCGACTGGGCGTCGGACCTTTGTGTCCGTAGACGACCTTGCTCCATTTCTGAATTAGCCCAGCGTTCTCATCTTTACCCAGACCACTCACCGCACCAAAAAAATCAGCCGTTTTCACAATTCTGAATGCCTTTGTAAAAAACACTGAGGCCTAGTCTCATATTGCATCCCTACCCGGTAGTCTATCTACCCCATTGGGTGGTTGAAGAGCCGCGAGTACTGATGAGTCAAGGGCGCTACTCGGAAGTGGAGCACAGGGGCGTGGGAGGGGCGCCGGCAAACGCGGGGGTGAGGCTCATGGCGAGCTCGGCGGCGCCCAGGCACGGCCGGGCCACGGCCGAGGCCGGCACCCATCGATTTGCCTCCTGCTGCTCTCTTCCCCTCTGGAGGCTGCGTTTTGCGTTAGAAGCGGCTATACGCCGCCACACCACGCCACCCAAGGTAATCCCCGCTGCCTCTTGCGACTCGCGTATATTTTTACTGCGGCAAAAGCCTTCTACTCGAGATAAGACCGCCCTTTGCCTCATCGGATAGGGAGGAACTCTGCTGAATAATAAGATTAAGCCTCGCGGAAGGTCTTCTTGATGACGGCCGGCCTTGTCGTGGAAGCCCGCGCTAGCCTTGGGTCGTGAGACGCGCGCCCCCGCTCCCCCGCCCTCCGCCGCGCCGCGCTCCCTCTCCCTATGCCGGAACGATTTCGGTTCCTTCTTTCGCGGACGCGGAAACCGCGCCATGGCGTTTTGCGATGAAAAAGCTCTGCGCCTTCCCCCAAGGTCCGCTCTACTCTCTGGAGCCGCAGCCGCGCCTCGCCCCCTCTCGGGCCGACCACGGGCCGTCGATCGACTGCCCCTGACCGGCCGCCAGAGCCGGGTGGACTCCGCGTCCCCCGGCGTCCCTGACTGCCTCCCGGGGGTCGACGCCCGGACACCCTCCCCGCCCCGAGCGCCCCGAGCTCGCGTGCGGCCCGCGGACCTCCCTAAAGGAGTCTGCGCGACAGGCCTCGGGAAGCAGCACGCCACATGATGGCGGGCGACCAATGGAAAATCGGTGTCGTTTCCACTTTGACTTTGTCTTTTCGGTATCGTTGTAATGTGACACCCGGCAACGGGACCGACCAGCTAGCCGGGCAGATGGAGTATACAGAATACATTTCGATGTTGTTTTGACGGAGAAACCAGCCCATCGTGTCGCTGCGCTTAACAGCACTCGGGCTGCCGGCGCTGCTGGCTCGGACCGGCCTGGGGCTGAAAGGCGAGAGGTGAGCGGGCGGCCCGCCCGACCGGTTCTGCTCTCAGCCTCAGCGTTGGGTCCGAAGTCCGGCTACAGGGGGAGCGCGAGTCCTGAGTCCTGCAGAGGCCGCCGTGGTGGCAGTCGCAACGACATTATCGCCGAAGCCGCGCGATTGGAGCGGAAGTCACTCGCCTCTCATCCACTTCCTGACTCCCCCACCCCCCACCGTCGCTCGGCCGCGGCGCGCGCTACCTCCTGAAATGTGTCGTGTTATTGTAGCCTCGGGCGCAAAAAGTAAAGAGACGGCCTTAACGACGCGATTGACCTTCGCTCGATTGTAGGCCAAGTCCCCGCGTTCGTCATTTACATACGTCTTGAACGCCTTAAGCGCGCGTGGCGTGATCGCCTGATCGCGCGGTGGGGTGGGGTGATACCTCGGCTGATACCGACCCGACCGCCCCCTGCCGGGCCAGGGCCAGGTGGGTGCAGCGGGCGGTCGCGGCCACAGACCTCGCCTCGTAGAGAGCGGGAGGCGGGAGGGGAACACTCTGTAGCTGGTTATCGCAAACGCTCAAACACACTCACGCACACACACACTCACACATGCACGGCCGAGCAGCACTCTGTTAAATACTGGCGGAGCACGCTTTTCTGCTGACAGGTACCCGGTTCGGCCTGTCACGCGGCCCGCGCGTGCTCGTGCTGCGCTTGTGTTTTGACTGACCGGCAGCGCGCCGGCGCCACGCCGCTGTGCGGCTCGGTGGCCTACCCTGGCCCCCCTGGCTGCCGCCCCGCACTTCGGGGTCTCAGCCTGAGGAGCGTGTCAGCAGAGGATTGTTGCACGTGTGTGTTTGTGCGTGAGCTCGCTTGCGTGTGCGTGAGTTCGTGCATGGTGCGTGCGTGAAGGGGCCGCGGTGCGGCGGCGGGTGCGGCACGGCTCGTCTCTGCATCACATCGTGGAGCTCGAGGAGGTGGGGGGCAAGCAGTGAGCAAGCAGCGCAACTTGCTGTGCGATGTCGAGCCAAGGCCGTAACGTTAGCAGCACAGCCTTCTTGTCGCGCTGCTCTAACCCGATTGGCAGAGCTGACTAGTGCCAACACTTAAAAAGAAAATACAAAAAACAACTTGTTTTATGTTTCTTTAAGGCTATGGGCATCCTGCTTGTTTATGCTCGCGAGCACCTTTCCTTACTCGGCCTCTGGTGTTGTTCTCCCCTCGGGGTGCTGCTGCTACGCCCTGAGCGCCGGAGTGCGTTCACACCGCTCCCAACTGCGCTGCGGTGTACGCTATACTGGGCGCACCAAGCCTTGCAGTTTTGTTTTTGTCAAGCCCAAGGTTGGCAGCGGCAGAAGCAGGGCCGCGGATGCAGTCGCGCGGGTGTCGGGAGGCGGCGGGGTGGCAGCCCCCGGCCCCCTGGCCCTGCAGGTGCGAGGCGTGGCGCGAGTGGCGATCGCAAGCTGAATCAGCAAAAATACACCACGAGCCACTTTGCGACTTAGCTCGACCGCCAAAAGTAAATAAAAAGGCTTCTTAAGCGGCGATGGCGTGATTACGCGAGTGCGCTTATCTGACGCGCGATCGACGTTCAAAGGTTCAATTTCCTGAATGGAGAGATTATGACGCAAAATCAGAGAAAAGTGAGCTAAGAGACTGTTTTTGTCAGTTGTTTTTGTCAGTTGTTTTTGTCATGGGATCAAGTGGCATGGATGGCACCTGCTCATGCGAAGGTGGGCATGTAGTCTAGCAAATGTAAATTTTCAAACAAAAAAATCAGTTCTGAAATACTTTAAAAAGTTTGAACATTTTAAAAATCGTACGAGGAACATATTTCAATAAAATTTTGGGCTTGAACATTTGAGCATTAACATCTTTATTTATCTGCGATACGCGGTCGCCGAGCCGAGACGAGGGTGGGTGGTGGCAGAGCAGTTCTGGGTGTTTACCCGTTGGCAGGCGGCAGGCGCGCACTGGTTCTGGTTACTCATACGAGTCACCCCCTCCCCTGCTAAGTTTAGCCATAACGCCTTTTGTTTCTGGTTACTTTTTTATTAAGAGCTTTGGCTGTCAACGCAGCGCGACGCTGTTTTCCCGTTACCGCCCCGGCAGGCCGTTGCATGCGGGGGAAAATAAAAACAGGAAAACAGAGACAATTTTAGCCTGCAGGAGGGCGTGGCGACGACGGGCAGGTACCCCTCCTGCGGTCGACCGGCCTTCCTGGTCGGGCGCGGCGTGAAACAGCAGGGATGAGAGATTTAATCAACTCATCAATCGTTGATCAGCTCCGGGACCGTGAGCTTCACGCTTCACGTGCGGCGAGCAGCCTGGGGCTAGCCTGGGGCCAGCCTCCGGCGGCAGCCACGCCCGCCACAATCAGCTGGGAGCGTGCGGGCGAGGGGTGAGGGGCCGGGCGGAGCTGACCTTGTAGACGAGGAGGATGGGCCCGGGCGGGGCAGCTCTCCCCGGCAACAGAATGGGTTCACTTCATGGGAGACGGCCGCCCCGCCGCCCGCCGGACCGCTGATGCGGGTGGGCATTGCAAGGGGCGAAGTGAGCCAGAGCAGAAGGGTGGCAAGTACAATTAGACTGGCACTGTTAAGCGAGCCGTTGAGGTGGGAGGAGGTGTGCTCAAGGATAAGTTGACCAATAACGACCACATTGCACGGCGGCACTCGCTGCCAAGCACCACCGACCCACCCCGCGGCCCCACCCCTCTCCCCTACACCCCAGTCCACGGCTGGTGCGCGGATGTCCCGGACAGCAGCACGGCAGCAGCTAAGATTAGCCCCCGTCTCGGTCCTCGTGTCGGATGCCCTTATGAAGGCCGCCCACTCACGCACTGTGTCTCTGTTGCAGGGTCGCGCCGCGCCGCCGCCATGCTGGTCGTCATGGTAGGCCTGCCGGCCACGGGCAAGACGCTGCTGGCCAAGAAGTTGGCCAACTACCTCAACTGGACCGGCCAGAAGACCAAAGGTGAGTAACAGATGAGGGTTGGTTCGGGGCGGCTTCAGCTTTCCTGAATCCTCCCAGACGACGCGGTCTCTAACCGACTGTTGGCGTCCCTTTGCAGTGTTCCGCGTGAGCGACTACCGCCGCAAGCACGTGGAGCTCTACAGCCACGACCTGTTCCGCTGCAACAACAGCGAGGCGGCCGAGCTGCGCAAGAAGTCCGCCATGGAGGCGATGGACGACGCGCGCAACTACCTGCTGCAAGGCGGCCAGCTCGCGGTGAGTAAAGCGGCAGGAGGAGACCCCGGGGGAAGTCCCGTCCCCGCCTGGGTGACGGCGATCGCACGAATTCAGTCACTTGTCCTTTTGCGCGGCCTTTTGGATGTCGCCGGGGCCGGGGCCGACTCATTTAGACGGCCTCGCACCGAGGGGGAGAGGGGGGAGGAGGGGTAGGAAGGAAGCGCGATGCTGCGCGCCGAGGAAACACAGGGCTAATTGTCGCCGTTGTGCTGGCCGAGGCCGGGGCCGGGGCCGGGCCGGGGGAACGACCAGGACTGCCCCACATTCCGGGGCGACTGGCCTGGCACGCGACAAAGGCCGCCGTTCACCACCGCGGCGCGCTCTCGGCCGTCCCTTTGAGGGCGGCCGGCCCTTCACCCAGCACACGCACTGTGCCCTGTGCCGTCGAGGACATCGATCTGCCATAGCCATTCAATTTAACTCATTTTTCGTATTTTTTTCTGCCCCCCGCAGATCCTGGACGGCACCAACTGTGACCGCTCCACCCGCACGCAGGTCACGGACACGTTCACGCGCCAGCACCAGATCCGAGTGCTGTTCATCGAGTGCGTGTGCGACGACGAGGACCTGCTCGAGAGCAACACCAAGGTGAGGACGAGGGCTGCGAGGAGAGACCGGGCGAGACGGTCGTCATCTGCCGGTAAAGGGAAACGGGCGGAGGCGCGTGCGGTGCGCGCCGTGCCAAGTTTTATTTCGGTTTTAGGGAGTCGTGGCGAGCGGCCAGGCGCGATGTTGTGCGAGGCTGGGGAGAAGCGGAGGCCGAGGGTGTGGCTCTGCACCAAGCCTACCGAGCGAGCTGATTGATATGTTTTCGTTTTTTCGACCGGCGCGCGGACTTTCCGAGCATTGCCGCGCATCTCAGAGTCCCGGGGAACAAACTTGAGCTGGCAGCAGGGTCTGCTTTACCGAAGCCCCCCTCCTGCAGCAGGCGTCAGGTGAAGGCCCTGGCCCTGGATAGTTTCCAGTCCGCGCGCACCGAAATGACACTGTCGGGTCCGTAGGCTCAAGGGTAACCTGTGCAGCCCGGTGACGTCACCGTCGTGGAAGGTAGCACCAGCAGCAGGCACCCGTTGGCCGTCTACAAGTCCGCGAACAACATCGCAGTCAAGGAGTAGTATACGGCAGAGCATCTGGGGGCGTTTTATGGTCCCTTGTCTCTGGCTGTGGGTGTGGGTGGGACGGGCATGGTCCCTTGTCTCTGGCTGTGGGTGTGGGTGGGACGGGCCGGGTACTCGTACTTGTTTTCGTCTTAACAAGGCCACCATGCGTCACCCCCTGGCAGCGGGCGTCTTCGCTGCCATTCCCTGCTCGTGCCACAATGGGAGCGCTCCTCGAGTGCACACAACGAGCGTACAGTAGCCTACCCGCGCGGCGCGGTGGGCTGGCCCCAGGTGAGGAGTGGCCCGGCCCCCTCCGCCCCCGCTCTGCCCCCCGCGAGGCGGCGGAGCGGCGGTTAGCTCCGCTCCATGATTGTTTGTCGCTCGGGCGCGGGACGCCGCCGGGACGCCAGGACATTGACTCCCGCCGCGCCTCCTGCCTGTGCATTTCGACTCCTGCCTGCCGCCGGGTAGTCTGGCCGGCCTGCTCGGCCGCCTGCTTGTAGGCCGCGCGGACGGAGAGAGGGGGGAGCGAAGGCGGGACAGAAATAACCTGGGTCGCGTTGTGCCCCGCAGCAGGCGGAGCACTGCCAGCCAGAGCCCTCAATCCGCGACCCAATCCAGAAGGGGACGGTCGGTCGCGCTGAGTGACCTGACCCTGTGTTAAAGGGTGGGGTGGGGCGGGGGGATGCTTTCATTCACAAGACTGTCCGTCCTTGCCCTTTTCAATCCACCCTCGGCTCTACCGGGACGGCTAAATCTGTTCGGAGCCGATCTAGTCGCAAACATGTTTCGAAGCCCACCCGCACCCGCTGACGCCACGCTGCCGCGCTGACGCGCCGGGTCTGTTTTCCCAGCGGGACACACCCCCGGCGGGGCGGCGGGGCCTAGGCGATCGCACGCGCCGCAGCGGGGCGGAGCAGGCGGAGGCAAACACATCGTAACGAATGTCCTCGCGCTGACGCCGGCTGTGACGTCCGCGACGCCCCCTTCCCCATCTCTCGCGCCGCTTCACTTGTTGTCTTTGCTCGCCCCCGGGGGGTCTATCCTTAACTCGCGGGTTCTACTCACGTGTTCGTCCAGCTCGCCCGCCGCTCCATTGTCCTGCAAGACGGCCTTAATGTATATGGAAGCCCCCCCCC